AAATGATTATTGACAATTTTGAATTGTCAGTTTCAACAACATGTTTACTCATCTGGAATAAGTGTTTTGAAATGTAAAAACATAACAATTAATGTTTATAATAAATAGTATTGTTTCTCTGTAAGTAGATAGCACTTTTTCTTTTGTATTGTTGCTCGTTTCAATAAATTAAGTCTGTTCTGATTAGGCTAAAAATGCGTTACGTAATGAAACCAGTGCGGTAATGAACTTCATTACGTAACTCAAATCACCTCAAATGAGTGCGGTAATGATGACTTATCCAAGCAGTCGTAGATAAATAAATAAATAGAGTACTTACATCAGTACACGCCCATTTTCCTTTTTTACAAATGCAAGTGTTACACTCTAAAGCAACAGATGATCCTTGTTCGTACCAGTTATCCTCGTAAAAACAAGGACATTCATCTTCGAAAAGACATTTCCCTTGGAAAAGTCTCATTCCCGATGGGCAATAACAACCTTCTTCGCAATCGTTTATTGAGGGAGTTTCGACAAATTCTTCTCCACAAGATAACTGTTTTCCATCTGGAGCGCAAGATAAGAAATGTTGATCCGGGTTTGAACAAATTATTGCTAAACATGATAATAATTAAATTTAAAATTAATTTTTGTTGCTAAAAAGATTTACGGCATAATTTCGGTTCTCTCCACTCGGTGATTGAATTTGTATTAACATTGCAAGTTTTAACGAAAACATCCAACATTTCGCACATACACTCCCATCGATTAACAAGTTTGCAACTACAATATTCTGAGATGCAGATATTTAAGAAATCTTTTGAGTATTCTTGGCAGTTTGAAAATTGAGCCAACGAAGTGATATTTTTACAATAATTTAAAGCCTGGGCGTTCAAACGATCGTTGTCGCCGCAAGCGTTTTCAAAGGATCCAGTTGAACATGGTTCTAAAGTCCAACTATTTGCAAAAATAATTTCTGATTCGGTTAAACTCCCATCGGAAGTTATCAAATCGTTATCGGCGCATCCATCATTATTTGAACACAAACCCACCATGATGTGATCGAAATCATCGTTATTTTGTACTATTTCAACGGTCTAATAAAAAAATTAATATGTTAGATTATAACGGATTAAAAAAATTAAGTGTTACCGTTCCATCGAATTTAATTTTCATTCCAATCGATTTAATTTCAAGAATAACCATTCGCCCAGGTTTTGAAACCGATAATCCGTTTAAAGTTTGAGGAATACTGTAAGGAATTCCATCTCTTGTAAACGTAATCGAAGTATCTGAAGTGATTTAAGTTAATTTTTAAGTTTAATTTTAATTAATTATTTATTTCAACCTGTTATGATTAACTGGAAATCGCGTGATGCATATTTAACTTGTAACCGTGTAGGATTTCTTAATAAATTAACATCTAAATTTTTAGCTTTGATTGATACTAAATTATAAGTGCAGCTTGAATTAAAATCGTAAACGTTTCCATCGAAAGTTTTGACGTGGATGTTACCAAAAACGACGCAATCAGAAATAAGCTTATTAAAAAAAATTAATTAAAATATAATTAAATAATTATTAATGATTAAATACCCCTCTTTCACATTGTTCTTCAGCGCTTAAAAATTCCGCATTAAAACAAATTAATAAAAACGAAAAGTATAATTTTATGGTTTTTAGAATCATTTTGATTGATATACTGAACTGAGGATGAAGTGAGATCGTTTATATAGAGTAATTCGAATGTTTGCTTAAAAAAATTTTGATACATATCTAAAAATTCTTGTTTACAACATAATTGTTCGTTGAGTGTGAGAAATATTTAGATAAGAATATAGATGCAATAAATTCGATAGGATTAATCGGTAAATGCTTCACAGGAAATTTCTCGTTTTATTTTGTTATTATATCGGTTTATGATTAATGATTAATAATTGCAAAAAAAAATATATATAAAAAATCTGAATCTCTGGGACATCTCCGGAAAGTGAATCTGAATTTCTGGCACATCCTTTGTTGCACAAATCCTTTGTTAATTGAAACAATGGGATGGTAAAGTTGTCTTGAATCTTCAAAAAACCCAAATACTACGGTGTTTACATGCAGATAATTTTATTCTTAGTCACAATTTTTTAATCTTTAAGTGTTTACTTTTACCATACTTTAATACCGTTCTAGAAAATAATTATTACATCCAATTCGGTGGATTAGATCTTATAAAAAATTCAATGAACTTCAAACATGTATTGTAAGATTAAAGTTGTAAGTTGTAATTCGCTGGTCAATATTTGTACACCATTTCCTACACTTCCTTATACCTCATTCCTTAATACCGGTAATATTCGTGCGTTTCCTTGCAATACCTAAAATATCCTTGTAATACCCAACAATTTCTTAATTTTTAGTTAATTCCTTATAATTTTGCAATATCTTCCCCAATTTCTTTACAATTTCTGTTAATACCTATACCCTTACGTCATCATCTAAATAGGCGACTCTATGTACAGTTGCTAAAATTTGTAATTTCTGTATTTTGCGCGTTCTTATTTGGAACTTATTAGTACGGTCATATTGAATGGCTACTTTAGAAAAGGATTGCTACCTCGATTGTTATTCACCGCACTGATTACTCACAAAAGTAGGAAATTACAGAAATATGTTGATACTATAAATTAATATCGATACTCCTATAACAAATGCTACGCATGCATCATACTCAGGAACATATGTGCTTGTGATGAACTGATAACTAATGAGAGATGTACTGTTGTATATGTATTTAATAATAAACTTACTTTAATAATTATGATTTATTTGTAACTGTTGTACATGTAAATTTGCGAATCGTTAACCGTCGAAAAACATATTACCAACCCCCGAATGTCAAAACTCTCCAGATATATAACACCTTCCTCTTCCCCGTTT